GATTGAGAAGTCTGATCGAAAAGTACGAATTGATTTGGATTCTACGCACCCAAATTAATAAGAAAAAGTGTTTTCCCGAGAAATTTTGGTGTAGTCGATTTTTGGTAAAAAAGGAAGGTTATATACTGCCTTTTTTTGAGCCCCGAAAAAAAAATTGTCTCAGATCGACCCGGAAAAAAATTTTCTTATAGAATGTGGCCTGTAGAATACATAATTTCAAACAGTTCCAAGATTGGGCTACTAGTTCAAAAGTTACAGCCCTTTGAATTTTCTTTCGAAATTGGTTTCTAGTCTATAACTTTTGATTGAGAAGTCTGATCGATAAAGTACGAATTGTTTTGGATTCTACGCACCAAAATTAATAAGAAAAAGTGTTGTCCCGAGAAATTTTGGTGAAGTCAATTTTTGGTAAAAAAGGAAGGTTATACGCTGCCTTTTTTTGAGCCCCGAAAAAAAAATTGTCTCAGGTCAACCGGGAAAAAAGATTTTCTTATAGAATGTGGCCTGTAGAATCCATAATTTCAAACAGTTCCAAGATTGGGCTACTAGTTCAAAGTTACAGCCCTTTGAATTTTTTTTCGAAATTGGTTTCTAGTCTATAACTTTTGATTGAGAAGTCTGATCGAAAAAGTACGAATTGATTAGGATTCTACGCACCCAAATTAATAAGAAAAAATGTTTTCCCGAGAAATTTTGGTGTAGTCGATTTTTGGTAAAAAAGGAAGGTTATAGACTGCCTTTTTTTTGAGCCGCAAAAAAAAGTTGTCTCAGATCGACCCGGAAAAAAATTTTCTTATAGAATGTGGCCTGTAGAATCCATAATTTCAAACAGTTCCAAGATTGGGCTACTAGTTCAAAAGTTACAGGCCCTTTGAATTTTTTTTCGAAATTGGTTTCTAGTCTATAACTTTTGATTGAGAAGTCTGATCGAAAAAGTACGAATTGTTTTGGATTCTACGCACCAAAATTAATAAGAAAAGTGTTTTCCCGAGAAATTTTGGTGTAGTCGATTTTTGGTAAAAAAGGAAGGTTATACACTGCCTTTTTTTGAGGCCCGAAAAAAAATTGTCTCAGATCGACCCGGAAAAAAATTTTCTTATAGAATGTGGCCTGTAGAATCCATAATTTCAAACAGTTCCAAGATTGGGCTACTAGTTCAAAAGTTACAGCCCTTTGAATTTTCTTTCGAAATTGGTTTCTAGTCTATAACTTTTGATTGAGAAGTCTGATCGAAAAAGTACGAATTGTTTTGGATTCTACGCACCAAAATTAATAAGAAAAAGTGTTTTCCCGAGAAATTTTGGTGTAGTCGATTTTTGGTAAAAAAGGAAGGTTATACTATGCCTTTTTTTGAGGCCCGAAAAAAAAATTGTCTCAGATCGACCCGGAAAAAAAATTTTCTTATAGAATGTGGCCTGTAGATCCCATAATTTCAAACAGTTCCCAGATTGGGCTACTAGTTCAAAAGTTACAGCCCTTTGAATTTTCTTTGGAAATTTGTTTCTAGTCTAAGCTTTTGATTGAGAAGTCTAATCGAAAAAGTACGAATTGTTTTGGATTCTACGCACCCAAATTAATAAGAAAACGTGTTTTCCGGAGAAATTTTGGTGTAGTCAATTTTTGGTAAAAAAGGAAGGTTATACACTGCCTTTTTTTGAGGCCCGAAAAAAATTGTCTCAGATCGACCCGGAAAAAAAATTTTCTTATAGAATCTGGCCTGTAGATCCCATAATTTCAAACAGATCCCAGATTGGGCTGCTAGTTCAAAAGTTAAAGCCCTTGGAATCTTGCATAAGATTTTAAATTTAGTACCGTAACGCGTGAATGAATAAAAGACCTAACCCAATACTACAACGTACAGCTTGATTCACGAGGGCGATTATGTACAAAAATCTTTGGTAATAGCATTTAATAAAGGTTGTGAAATTCTACGGCTCCCTTTTTTTTTCATTTCACTTTCGTTTAATTTGTAAATTTAATTAAATACCCCGACATTGTTTGCTTTTCGGATAATTCAAGATTAAATGAATTCCATTTCGCGTTCTCCCTTTTTTTGCGGAAATAATAAATAATTTTTCAAATTCACACGTTTTGACGACTCATCGGACATAATTAAATTCCCGCCTTTAATAACAATGCAAAAGAGTGCGAATTCCGTAACGAAAATCGTCGAAAACTTAATTACGGAAATATAAATCTAACAAGAGCAGATGTAGTTTCGAAAATTATGACGATATTAAATTTAGAGGCGTTTCTCGTAGCATAATAAAATATCGATATCAGTAAAAGCGGGGGTTTGTAAAAGTGTTTATGAAATAATTTCGCTGTGGTATAACTCGTAAAATTACGCCCAGGATTATATTTCTTTTATGCGAGATGGATTTTCGAAATTGCGGCGATCGTTAACTAAATCGGTTAATCCAAAGTAACGAGTGGAGGGATTTCGCTTAGATATTAGGAATGTCTTGGATGATGACGCGAACGCAAAAAGTACATTGCTGATAGATGACACAGCCGACGGCGGCGGCGCACACCGACGCACCCCACCGTTTCCAAAGTTTGAGCTTTACGCGGGAGCTTTCCAGTCAGAGAACCGCGCTTTCTGCTCGCGATTGTTTCCGATTTCCGGATCAGCCCCTAAAAGACACGCTATGTGAGAAGTTTCGAAAACACAAACGCAATTGAGTGGGTGACAATGGGCAACGAAAATGCCAACTGACACCGTGACATAGTGTTCAACCACCACACGGATTAAAATGGTAAATTGTCTGCGTATGCAAATTCTAATCAATTTCAGCGCAAATCCATTTATACACCTAAAATTAAGTTACTCAACTTATAATTACTAAAAGCTTTTAATACGCAAACGACTTAATAGCTTTACCACATCTGTGACAGGAACGTCTTCCTAAAACTTTTAGTATTGGCATTAGCGAAAACCTCTTCCGACGATATTTAAAGTGAAGGCTGAATTGCTTCTGAAGTTAGTGACATAATTGAATTTGGCAATGGTCTCGTCCATTTGGAGAGAGAATTCGGTTGAAAACACCAACGATTTGCACGAATTCGTTAATAAAGCGCTCTTTCAAAATACGGCCATCTCAAGTAGCTTATTGAAGAAGTTCCAAAACAATAATGTTCTTATATTATTCAGCTGATTTGAGGTGGGAGAGTTAAAACGTCATTTAGATTCCTGGAATAAAATGAGCTATGTCCAACAATTCATTTCACATATCGCGAACAAATACATTTACGAAACATTTTAAAGGTTATCAAAATGCAAGGAAAATTAAACCATAATGGAGCAAAAGCCCTACATTTTTCTGCGGTAATTGTATTTTCGCGTTCAATCTCAACCTATCTTTTGTTCCTCTTGTTTTCCTACATTCGTAATATATTACGATAATCATATTTTGCCGTTCCACAATCAAATGATAAGTTGGATTGCGCTCGCACTTGTAATGTAATAATAATCCGCGCATCCATCTTTTCAAGTTTTAAGTGGAGCATCAGTGCAATTAATGTGTTAACATCCTTTGAAATTAAATCAAACGTGATCGTCATCGGGGATACCTCAACAGTATTATAACATTTTTGACTTTTTTTATTTTTCTTTAGAGACAAGTCAGTAGGACAGGAACGTATTAAGTATTTGAAAATCGCAATATTTTGAAAGTTTATAGAGGTATAAATAAACGTCAGTGGAATAGGTAGCAACTTATGAACTTCCGCTTAGGTATCGATTACAAATTCGGGGAAAATGTCTTTCTTCGTTGATTGAGTCATGAGTGATTCCATCCGCCACCTTAGTACTTTGCCAAAAATTATTGTTGCCTCTAGAATCACGTCAGCTGCTTTTTAGTCAAAAATCAATCGAAACAACTATTCGGTTTCTTGAAAGCAAGAGCCCTAATGTTGAATTTTCAGACAATTGTCATAGACTGAAACATATTTCAATCATAAAAAGTTTTCTTAGGAATTTGTTCATAGATTAATTAATGAACATAATTTATTATTTAGCAATCCATCAAATTTACAGTGTAGAGCTAAAAAACTAGTAAAAATGTGCAGATTAAACTACAACATACTATATTTCAAGAGGAAATTGAATATAATATTCGGTTTAACGAACTTTTCCATTTGACAGCATGCAATTTATTTTTCCTTATAGCGGTCAATTTTTGCTTTCAGGTTTTTCAATGGAAAGTTTTCTTCTAACTAAAAAAGTGATGCCAACCCTTTGAATTTTTAATACGTTTTAATTTCAGTATGTCGATTATTCAAGGAGTGCAAAGGTACGCAATGAGGACGGGTCCCTACTTAAAAGGGACCCCGACAAAAATGTACAAACAATTTAATTCGTTTATACAAAATTCTGCAAAAAATTGAAAATGTTTCGAACTCCTTAAATGGTATGCTTCTATTAATTATTTACATATTTTCCGTTACTAAAGGAAGAGATTAAACGTACCAAAGCATGATGCAAATGCTGGCTAATAAAACGGAGGGTAAATATAGGTGAAAAATCTGGAGCAATATCTGCAATATACAAAAATTAACAACCCGACGAAGTAACCCTTGAATTTTAATAATTTAAATCTGACTTTAATCTAATACAAAATGTGATACCTATGCTCAAAAGTAGCCAACTCAAATAGATTTAAAAGCAACTTTGCCATTTATGAAAAATAACATTCCGAAGTCTCTTAATAAAGTAAATGAAATAATTAATTAGCGGGACCTTCTCCAATCCAAAAAGTATCTGGAGGTCCTGGATGCGTACAGTGAAACCTTGGTATCAAGCTGTAATCACAGCTGTTCTGAATAATAGTACAGAATGCTAATACGCATCCTGGATACGGTAACCTTAGACTGAAGTTGTATTTCGAGTAATTTTAACACTCCAGCGTTTACCTCTGCACGGACGAAACAGTTAAAAACATTTAAAAAAAGGCAGATTCATACACAAAGAATTGAAGTCGCTACTGAACGACTTTATACATCGAAGGAACTGGCCAATATTAAACAAATACATTTAACTAACAAACAAACATTTAAAGTGAAACAATTAACTAACAAACAAATTCAAGTGTTAAGTGTTACCTACCCCTGAGCAGGAGTCAATAAAACGAAGAGTTACAATTAAAATTAAGTGCATGATTACCTTTTGTTATGGCACAAATTTCGAACAAAATCAACTGGACTCTTACTGAACGCAGAAAGCAGTAACGCTAAATTTTACAATAGACCTGTGAACCAATGAATTACAAAATGCAAAATCAGCAAAAAGACACTATTTTCTACATATACAGATAATTATCGTTTAAAAATTCATAAGGGAGAATCATTGGGGAGTAAACACTAAAAGCTTTGTTGATGAAGGACTCCATTTTTTGTTTGAGTGATTATTATATGGTGAAAAAATATATTTGAGACTCAAAATTGTTTATTTTCTAACGTCGAAATCGATAGCCGTTAGAAAATAAACAATTTTGAGTCTCAAAATAATATATTTTTTCACCATATGCTTCTTTGCTAGTTGCTTGTCCAGTTATCATTCAAAACTAACGTGATTTCCAAAATTCGTACTAAAACGTCCCCTTTCTTAAGTTATACTTACATGCCTCTGAAGTTTAGTCGAAATGAGTTTCTTACACCTCAAACATTATTTTTAAAGCAAACTACAACTAAAGCGTTAATTGACGTTGAAATTGTACATTCCAAATCTAGCTATCTCAAGTAGATTCTCGAGAAATGAATGTAGGAATTACATTACCAACTACGTTTCACATATTATCTTTCACTATCACCATTTGAATGTACAAGGTAAAGCAAATTAAACTTGAAAGACACTAATTCTCTTGTGGCATTTGACTTTTGTGGGGGTGAAGGCATCTGGATGAAAAATCAGTACAATAACACAGGAATAGACTGAGCTTTGTTCAAAGATTAATGTTCACATATCGCGTTTACATTTGAAACATTTAAAGGTTATCAAATCTCACGGAAAATTTCACCGTAATTGAGTGAAAGTCCTACATTTCCCTACGGTAATTGCATTTTTGCGTCCTATTCAGTTTGTTCCTCTTATTTTCCTACATTTGTACTGTAGCTCGACAATCATGTTCTACAGTTTACAATTAAGGTGAGATTTGAGCAATATTACATAGAGTGAACATGAGAAATACATAGTAAAGATATTAGCCTCATATTAAGTCGTCGTCTTTCTGATTAGAAAAATGAAGAATTTGATGAATTACTGAAGCCATTCATTGTGATAAGCTTTTAGGTACGATCAAAGAAGGAACTATTTAAAAAATGGGAAAGCAGGAGCACATGTTATTTAATCGACTTGTCCAACGAGGGAAAATAAAAGAAGCATCAAGATTTTTAGATAAAAGAAATATCTACTGGCAGAGTTTTATTTATTGATGAACTTGATGATTCTGATTCTGGTGACGGTTTTGGATGCCATACAAGACAAGACAAGAGTGCTGTTATACCTGATACCTTATTGCAATTACCGTCTGATATTGATAAACATCCAAATTTACAATACCTTGAAATTACATGTGACCATGTCAAAAAAGTTGCAAGAAAACTTCATGGCAGTGGAGGTCCAAGAGGATCAGGATCAGATCAATGGACATATTTTCTTTTGCGTCATGGAAATTCGCGTGAAAATCACCGTTGTTCAATTGCTATTTTAGGTGCCCTAATGGCAAATCGACTGACTGCAATTGATAAATACCTTGTAATTCGTCCTATTGGAATTGGTGAATGTTTGCGTGGTGTACTGGCAAAATGTATTATTCTTAGATCTGAAATTTGTGGAGCGGATCAACCTCGTGGTAGCTTAAAAGCTGGAAATAGAGGGCGGGGTCAATCGTATGGACAAACTTTTTCATGAAAACTGCTTATCTGAATCTGGATGGGGTTTACTACTTGTTGATGCAAATAATGCATTTAATAAAATAAATCGTAGGCATGCTCTTTGGCAGGCCAGATTGAAATGGGCCCGCTCTGCAAGACTCATAGACAGGGTGTTCCTTAAAAGCATGGTAATATTTAAGGGGGTGATTAATGGACCCATTTAAAGAAAAAAACTTCTTATGAACGTTTTAAACGTTTTAATTTTTGAGATACGGGGTGGTACAGTTTTAGAAAAAAAATCAGTGTTAATGATAACAGAGTCTTCTATGCATCAAGATGCATTTTCTGATGTGCAAAAGTTTTTATTTTCTCTACCAGTAGCGTCCGTACACGGCTATGTATTGAATATTTTTGGAGAAAAAGTACTACGCCACTGCTTTGTCTTAAAATAAAAATTATTTTTTAAATCCTCATTCATTTTTGAGCAAATTTGATCTTCTGGTTTTTCTTTGTTCGACGCATGGTTTTCGCTTAAAAAATTAAAATCGTTTTACTTCAGGATCAGTAAAATCCTAAAAATCCTAAAAATAAGCAGTGGCGTAGTATTTTTTCTCCAAAAATATTCAATGCAAAAGCCAAAGGTAGGTTTAATCAAGAAAAAATGCGATTTGGTTGCGATACACAAAATTAAGTTGCAATAAAAGTTAAATTGGAATAAATAATCAACAAAAATTAGTCGAGTGTGTATTGGGTATAGAATCGTAAACGAACCTCTTCGTGATGTTGTCACTTACAATGCTCAGTTCCCTAGGGGTTAGCAGTTTGAATCTCTACTACCTAAATATTTCGTTTCGTTTATACCTACCACTCCGCTTTCCTTTTGTGA